AGGGGGGGTGCTTGATACTTTTTTTCGACGATTTTTGATAATTAATATCTCTTAAACTAAAACCGATAGCTACCAACGAATAGTTGATTATGATAGATTGGAAAATTCGCTATCAGGTGAAAGTATAAAATAATTCTATTTCCTACAGTAAAATGTCGAAAAACGCAACTAAAAGTGCTAAAAGTGACATTTTGCAAATTTTGCCCATTTTATTCAAACGCGAATATCTCGTAAACTAAAAGAGATAAATAGGATCTGATCGCAGCGTCTTAATCTACGGACTTTTCTCTATCAGATAGGATAGTTAAAAGGGAAATCTGAGAGATGAAATTTTATTTCTTAAGAAAAAATGCCAAGGGGTGCTTGATACTTTTTTCGACGATTTTTGATAATTAATATCTCTTAAACTAAAACCGATAGCTACCAACGAATAGTTGATTATGATAGATTGGAAAATTCGCTATCAGGTGAAAGTATAAAATAATTCTATTTCCTACAGTAAAATGTCGAAAAACGCGACTGAAAGTGCTAAAAAGTGACATTTTCCAATGTTTGCCTATTTTATTCAAACGCGAATATCTCGTAAACTAAAAGAGATAAATAGGATCTGATCGCAGCGTCTTAATCTACGGACTTTTCTCTATCAGATAGGATAGTTAAAAGGGAAATCTGAGAGATGAAATTTTACTTCTTAAGAAAAAAATGCCAAGGGGTGCTTGATACTTTTTTTCGACGATTTTTGATAATTAATATCTCTTAAACTAAAACCGATAGCTACCAACGAATAGTTGATTATGATAGATTGGAAAATTCGCTATCAGGTGAAAGTATAAAATAATTCTATTTCCTACAGTAAAAGGTCGAAAACGCAACTAAAAGTGCTAAAAGTGACATTTTGCAATTTTTGCCCATTTTATTCAAACGCGAATATCTCGTAAACTAAAAGAGATAAATAGGATCTGATCGCAGCGTCTTAATCTACGGACTTTTCTCTATCAGATAGGATAGTTAAAAGGGAAATCTGAGAGATGAAATTTTACTTCTTAAGAAAAAAATGCCAAGGGGGTGCTTGATACTTTTTTCGACGATTTTTGATAATTAATATCTCTTAAACTAAAACCGATAGCTACCAACGAATTGTTGATTATGATAGATTGGAAAATTCTCTATCAGATCAAAATACAAAATAATTATATTTCTAAGGTTAAAAGGTCGAAAAACGCGACTAAAAGTGCTAAAAACTGACATTTTGCAATTTTTGCCCATTTTATTCAATCGCGAATATCTCGTAAACTAAAAGAGATAAATAGGATCTGATTGCAGCGTCTTAATCTACAGACTTTTCTCTATCAGATAGGATAGTTAAAAGGGAAATCTGAGAGATGAAATTTTACTTCTTAAGAAAAAAATACCAAGGGGGGGTGCTTGATACTTTTTTTCGACGATTTTTGATAATTAATATCTCTTAAACTAAAACCGATAGCTACCAACGAATTGCCAATTAGGAAAGATTGGAAAATTCTCTATCAGATGAACATATAAAATAATTATATTTCCAACAGTAAAAGGTCGAAAAACGCGACTAAAAGTGCTAAAAAGTGACATTTTGCAATTTTTGCCCATTTTATTCAATCGCGAATATCTCGTAAACTAAAAGAGATAAATAGGATCTGATCGCAGCGTCTTAATCTACGGACTTTTCTCTATCAGATAGGATAGTTAAAAGGGAAATCTGAGAGATGAAATTTTACTTCTTAAGAAAAAATGCCAAGGGGTGCTTGATACTTTTTTTCGACGATTTTTGATAATTAATATCTCTTAAACTAAAACCGATAGCTACCAACGAATAGTTGATTATGATAGATTGGAAAATTCGCTATCAGGTGAAAGTATAAAATAATTCTATTTCCAACAGTAAAAGGTCGAAAAACGCAACTAAAAGTGCTAAAAAGTGACATTTTGCAATTTTTGCCCATTTTATTCAAACGCGAATATCTCGTAAACTAAAAGAGATAAATAGGACCTGATCGCAGCGTCTTAATCTACGGACTTTTCTCTATCAGATAGGATAGTTAAAACGGAAATCTGAGAGATTAAATTTTACTTCTTAAGAAAAAAAATGCCAAGGGGGGGGTGCTTGATACTTTTTTTGACGATTTTTGATAATTAATATCTCTTAAACTAAAACCGATAGCTACCAACGAATTGTTGATTATGATAGATTGGAAAATTCTCTATCAGATAGAAATATAAAATAAATATATTTCCTACAGTAAAAGGTCAAAAAACGCAACTAAAAGTGCTAAAAGTGACATTTTGCAATTTATGCACATTTTATTAAATCGCGAATATCTCGTAAAATAAAAGAGATAAATAGGATCTGATCGCAGCGTCTTAATCTACGGACTATTCTCTATCAGATAGGATAGTTAAAACGGAAATCTGAGAGATGAAATTTTATTTCTTAAGAAAAAATGCCAAGGGGGTGCTTGATACTTTTTTCGACGATTTTGATAATTAATATCTCTTAAACTAAAACCGATAGCTACCAACGAATAGTTGATTATGATAGATTGGAAAATTCTCTATCAGATAAAATATAAAATAATTATATTTCCAACAGTAAAAGGTCGAAAAACGCAACTAAAAGTGCTAAAAGTGACATTTTTCAATTTTTGCCCATTTTATTCAAACGCGAATATCTCGTAAACTAAAAGAGATAAATAGGATCTGATCGTTTGCGTCTTAATCTACGGACTTTCTCTATCAGATAGGATAGTTAAAAGGGAAATCTGAGATGAAATTTTACTTCTTAAGAAAAAAATGCCAAGGGGGTGCTTGATACTTTTATCGACGATTTTTGATAATTAATATCTCTTAAACTAAAACCGATAGCTACCAACGAATTGTTGATTATGATAGATTGGAAAATTCTCTATCAGGTAAATATATAAAATAATTATATTTCCTACAGTAAAAGGTCGAAAACGCGACTGAAGGTGCTAAAAGTGACATTTTTCAACATTTTGCCTATTTTATTCAATCGCAAATATCTCGTGAACTAACTGGTATGTTGGATAGTTTTTCGTTTGTTCAACAGGTTCAATATAAATATTTTCATCTGAAAGACAGGGTCAAACTTTTTAAACGAAATTAATATCTGTCGAACAACAGGGTCGGACCCTTTTCTTAAAACTATCAGGTTCAAACTGTAGAAGTGCCCTCCACCAAGGAAAAATTTAAATCAGTATATGATAATTATCTCTAGAACTAAAAGGGCTAGAAGAAAATAAATTTCATATTCTTGATCCTTGAAGAATTCTCAACAAGATATCATGTTTTTGTAAAACGACCAAAATGGTATAAAAATTAAGGAAAAGATTTTACTAAAAAATGGCAATAGATTTCTCTTTTTATGGTCGAAATTAAATATTGGAATTATTCAATTCTGTTTTCGAATCCTTATAGACAATTTAATTCCGCATCGTTTATTTCCGTAACTTTTTTGTTATTATTAACCGTTTCGGGCCTATTTACAAATTTCAATGAAAATTCAAGTCGACGTAGAAAAGAGAAATCTTTTGCCTTTTTATGACGAAATCATTTTTCACCAAAAGCAGCTTCTGTAATAATTGGAATTTTTAAATTCGGTCTTCGAATTCTGAATTTAGATTAAATTCTTAATCGGAAATCAGTAACACAATTATAGATTAAGGCCCTATTGGCATGTAAAATCAAATTTTTGTATGAAAATTGCAAATAGGGCCTAAACGGTCAATGTTTTATTCTGTTTTGGAATTCTGCAAGCTAATTTAATTCTAATATCGACTATTTAAGTAATTATTTGCCTAACATTATCCCTATATTCCTATTAATCATAATAACTAATGGAAATCAATAAAAATCTGGCGGGAATTGTCTATGTTGACTTTCTGCGTTCCTACTATCACGAACTGATGAGCAGCTCAATTTTCGTATTTTCTCGACAAAATTTTGTTGAGAAATCCGATGAAATTCGTACACAAAATCTTTTGAATATTACGATCGCAGAAAGTGCAGTAGGTTGCTGAATTAATGATAAAACTTATTGTAACACCCAGTGGCAAAGTAATTTATTTATTCCTAAACAGATGGCGGTGGTGTCAATATTTAAATAAATAATTGTAAATATTCAATTAAAAATTGATTTTAAAGTGTTTCACGATTGCAGGAATGCACAGTTATAAGCCATGCTACAGTAATTGCCTAAAAATACCCAATTAACAATTATATATAACGAATAAGTCCACTATTAATTTAAAATCAATTTTCAGTTTAATATTGCATCAAAATTTATTTAAATATTACCACCGCTGCCATCTGTTTACGAATAAATAAATTACGCCGCCACTGGGTGTTACAATAAGTTTCATTATTAATTCAGCAGCCTACTGCACTTTCTGGGATCCTAATATTCAAAAGATTTTGTGTATGAATTTCATCGGATTTCTGAACAAAATTTTGTCGAGGAAATACGAAAATTGAGGTGCTCATCAGTTTGTGATATTAGGATCGCAGAAAGTGGACATAGATGATTCCCGCCAGATTTATGTTGGATTTCCATGAGTTATTATGATTAATAGAGAATATAGGGATAATGTTAAGCAAATAATTACTTCAATAGTAGATATAGAATTAAATTAGCTTGCAGAATCCGAAAACAGAATATAACATTGACCGTTTCGGCCCTATTTGCAATTTTATTACAAAAATAGTTTATTAATGCCAATAGGACCTTAATATGCAATTGTTTTACCAGTAGAAAGACTTTTTAGCTATCTTTTCCCTTTCTTATATCAAAATCTTTTCAAATTTGTATGTTTTGCCATCTTGTTGAGAATCGTAATATACCAAATTAATGCATTCTTGTCATGTTAACTCCTAATGGAAAACTAATATCTAGCATGCATTCACAATAAGAAACATTCCTTAAGAAATTGAACGAAAATATCAAAACTTACCTTCAACATATAAATGCTTCGGTTTGTACGCGACATCTGTAACAAGGTAAGAAACAACTTTAATATATAGCTACATGCGGTTCGCGTCAATCAAAAGATAAACATTTCATGAAATAGAGACAGAAACAACAAAAGTATGAAGTGAATTGGTAAGTACACCATTATCTGCACACATGAAAGTTGTAAAAATTCCCGAAGTATAATTTGTACTACGTAATGTGTTCATAACGACGTGGATTGAATAAATAATACGCCGTCGCCGATGCAGTGTAAGCACTTCACATTTCATAAAACATCATATGTGGCAATATCAATACCAACGGGTTCAGACAGGAAATATGAACGCGTCGTAACTGTTTTGAGAACTGCTGACAACACTCTGTGATAGTTTTCGTTGTCGCGAGTGTCTCCCGCTCCGCAACTCCTGCTACAAATGAGTCGCCCTGAACCTTTCGAGACGAGCGCAAAGCGTCGACATTTCTCTCGTGGGAAATGACTGCAATTTGCTCCTAACTACTTCTGCCAGATCCTTTTTTTGCGCGCGAGTTACCGCATGAGCGCATTAACACACTTAATCTTCGTGCTTACGAAATTCACATTCGTGTTATTACCGGCCGAACGAAAATTTTGGGCCGCACCAGGATGGATAGTAAGGAGCATTAAAGTGCGCAATCTCGAAAAAGAGGCAAGCATAAAATGATGCAGCGACAGCAGAGATTATTAATATCGCACGAATCCCTCATGCAGTCGTCAAAGTTATGAATCTCTGAAATCGAACTTGACTTCGAATATTGCCGAATATTAAAAAAATTTATCCTTCTGCAAATAACCTCTACTAAAAGTTACCTTCCTACAAATTTTACACGTCCAAATGAAACCGAATCATTTTATGTTTTCTACTTTTCGGGGCGCTTCGCAAAATATGTTATTTTAGAGCGTGCGGGCTGTAATACTTTTAACATTGTGCAAAATAAATTTCTATTCTCTTTGCGGGACGGTTGGCTAATGTTTACCATTCGGAAAGAGGTCGCCTGTCATGTATTTGCTCTGCGGCGTTGTTGGAAACGCGGCGCAAGTGTGTTATCCCTTGTTTACCCTGCGCACCAACCGTGCCGGCCCGAGTTTGTTCACCCAGGAATTGCCATTCTAAGCTTACAACTAATTTATCTTCGTCCTTTGGAGACGAAGCAGTGGTGGTACGCGGTTATTCAGTCCGTCCGTTTTCATTTCTTGCCGGGCGTTATGAGAAGGGATACTGGACACGTACGAAATATTCCCGATTAATTGATTTATTACTGCGGATTCCAACTTCGGTTTTAATTACGTGTATATCTAATTGTCTGCAAACGCTGTGTATTTATTCCCGAAGCTATTGTAATCCTATCATATTCAAATTAAACAATATTCTTTCAATGCCGTACGATTAGGATGAATTGAGATGTGGCTAATACCATTACAAATAAATCGTGTTTTAGTGCTAATTTCTCGCCAAGCGGCAATTTAATAAAGCTTAAATGCATAACAAATGCAGAAGTGCGGGGAGTGAACCTCTGACGATGTATTCTCGCAGCGCAGCGATCGATTCGCAGTGAACTGCAAAAACTTGTAGCGTTTGCAGCTTTATAACTAACGTCGAACTAATTTATTTCCTAATAGGCCTTTGTGCATGCATGCACCACGTCTGATTTTATACACACTTTGCCGCCCTCACCGCGACGCTGATGTGCTTAATTATTCACTCTTCATGGGTCGCTTTTCAGAAACAGGCAAGACGGACAAAAATTGAAAATCTAGAAAATGCTTGATAATATTTTTTCACGATTTTTGACAGTGAATATCTTTTAAACTAAAAAAGATAGCAACCAGAAAATTGTAGATTATGGAAGAATGGAAAATTCTCAATCAGTTTAAAATTTAAAATAATTTAATTTAATGGAATAAAAGGTCTAAAAACGCAACTGAAATTGCTAAAAATGGCAATTTTTTAATTTTTGACGTTTTATTTCAATTGCGAATATTTCGGAAACTAAAAGAGATAACAAGGAACGAATCGCAGAGTGTTAATCTACGGACAATTCTCTATAAAATATGCTATTGGAAATAATGCAAAATTAAAATTTTATTTATGTATCGAATTCTAACATCTTTTTTTCCGTCAAGAAGAAATGTGCCTGCGCAAGCATGCCTCGAGCGCAGAAGATGTGTGTATGATTCATGGCGGGAGCGGCGTGCCACTAGTGAATGCGGCAAGGAAAAGCGCACTGCAAACGGGGCGGGAATATTTGCAAACCGGCGCCTTCTCCTCTGCTGGCGCAATATCACGCAGCAAGTGCCGAGCACGACTTGTAATGTGAGCGACCGTGACAGGTGTTTTCTCTTGGTACGCCTGCTTGCCTTCGGGGCACTTCAAATTAGAAGAACCCAAACGAAAGTTGGTGTTTCATGTGGAAATGCACATAATCATGGCTATTTTTTGCTGCATCTACTTATTTTTTCCTAGCTGCATGTTTCTTCTTAAAATATTAAATACTAGATGTAGAACTTTAAAATATTGTAGACGACATTGATGCCAATGTAATTTCAAAGTTTTTTAATCTCCGGGGTATAAAATTATACAAATTTTAAAAGCTATAGAATTAATTTCTTGTACTCGTAGTTTAAGATTACATGTAAAAAAGATTACCATCTTAAATTACTTCGTATTTATTTAAGTAACTGAATCTTAGGGTCAGAACTAGAGTGCAAACAAACAGAGCAGCAACAACAACAAAAACAACAACTTAATCCAAAGTGTGCACTTGGACATTCCCGAAATCCTTAATGAAGATGCAAACTTAATTGCTGATGATGCCTAGATACGAATGACAAATTAGACCATTATCTTCCTATCTGAATAGTTGCGTTCGGTTGGTACTGAGAGCATGTTTCAAACAACTGGGTCGGCTATTGCATTTGCCATCAAAGCAACTACGAGTAGAGTACTAGAAGCTTTGTGTAATCTATAGTTAATTCAACAACGGCGTTTATTTCGTGCGATTGCGCTTGCTAAATCTGATCAATAAGTAGTCAATCGAAGAAGTCGGTAAATTGTGCCCGGAATCAGCGAAGGTCTGAAGACCGTGCATGTAATGTCACTGGGACATTTGTTTCGTGGAAAATATTAATGGGAAGCTATTTCCCGGAAGTCCCACGGCGAGTGCAAGTAATGAGCATGTATTGTAAACCTTGGGCTTATTGATTATTCTTATCAGTAGATTCTATTGTAATATGATTCACATGTTATCTACGTAGGTACTAATTTTGCATTTGAATGGCACTCAGTATTTTTTGGATAATAATGGATTAAATAAACGGAAAACACTCTGGATGAGTCAAGTACTTCTAGAAAAACTAATTTTAATAAATTCCAATTTCTCTATTAATTAATCCATCGTTATGATAAAGTTAAGTATCATTCTCAGGTGATAAAAGGTCGGCAACTATATCAATGCAATTATTATCAGAATTTATCAATATTTATCAATGACATACGAGTATTCCAAGAATAATCTAAAATGTTTTTGAATCAATTTCCTGATATAAATTTAATGTTATATTAAAATGTTTAGATACTATCAAATAAATGTTTGTAATTAATTTAAAATTAATACGAAATATAACATGCATAAATCGAAACTAGGTTGTTGAATTTGTACAAAATAATTTCTACTTTATGTATCAACAAAGATGCATTTTAATTAACGTTACCAGCGCATCAAATATTTATAACCACGTTTTGAAATAACAAGTTAAAAACCATAGAAAAATATTTCCGTGTACCAATGTCGCGTTTTAATTAAAAACTTCACAGAAATAAAATAATAACTCGCACCTATAGTCAACATTTATAAAAATATTTTCTCTTCTTGAAACTACCTTACAAAATATGTAATTTGTTATAAAATCTATAAAATCAATGCTAATATTTTTATTTTATTTCGAAATAAATTAATTTTTGTAAACAAAATGTTGAGTTCATATTCAAAACTAATGGATTTTAAATTAAAGGTAAATATCCCGACATTTAACCAATTAAAAAACATAAGCAAACAAAAATAAACTCCAATAACAACAAGAATAATAACATGATAAAATGAAGCAATAATTTATACACACCAATACAATCATGCGCAAACATACATTTCAATGGACGTACAGTTAATGTAAATCAGTATGCCAGAAACTAGGACGAATACCACGATTAGCAGGACGAGAATGACGACGAGGATGATTGGCCTGCAGCACGGTAACCAGCCGTCACCATCAGAAGGCGAGGCGGTTGTGGATATACACCACCCGCAAGCTGTCTCACCGTCGCCGTGGTCAGCGACACAAGTCGCGGCCACCCGCTCCGGCCGCACGGCGGTTGCGTTGCCGGCGGCGTTGACGACGACGCCGGTGTGTGCTGCAGCCTGTGGCGGATGTGGCGATGCAAAACCGCCGTCGTCCTCGTAGTACACACCGTACGACATAACAAAGTTGTTCGGTGCGTGGGTGCCATTGTTGTGCATCATTATGTTTGTCGATCGGCCGTTTTTGTTCGCGTAGTAATTGTAGTCGGACGGCAGTGTCGGATGCGTTTCATAGTAGCCGTACGCGCTGCCATTGGGGGTGTTATTCGCGCGCGTTTCATATGCATGTTCGCTCGTGTCGGTGACCATTACTCGGGCAAGGGTTAAACGGTACCAACATTTAGGGCATTTAAGGCGATGGTTATATTAGAAGAATTAATCATTATTTTGTTTTTTAGTAATTTATGTTTTAGTCAAGTTTATGTGGTTATTTATTAGCACTGTTTTAATTGTAACGAACCTGAAACAATGAAAAAACATTAATTAAATTTAATAACCACAGAATAGAATTAATGTTTTATTATTAAATAAAATTATAAATTATTCTGTAACTATTTACGAAAATGTGAGTAAAGCTACCTCTTTTAATCAATTACTTGTTCAGTAAAGGAAAGCCCCAGCATTAGATAAAGGAATAATCGTAAATTAAATCTAATTGTGAACATAACAAGCCTACGTCAGGTAATCTCGTATTTAGCAGCGTATATAACAAAAATGAGAAAACGAGATATGTGTTCGTATTTTACGCAACGCAGGGACTTAAATATGAATTCTGCTGTCTGCAGGATTAGAGCAGAGCTTTTACATTTTAGATTCATGGCGCATTTAAATGCGGAGTGCTTTTCAGCACGGCGAAGATTTAAAAGAGAGTTGTATTTTATTATTGTTACAGAGTGTCACAATAATTTTGACATAAACAACTGTTTGCAACATATTGGGTCTTGAATATAATTTTACATGCAAATTGAACATACTTCAGTACAAATTACTATTTTATTATAAATATGAGATTATTTAATGATGTAAAAGTCTTAATTTGCATTTTTATCAAACACTTTGTTTTCAGTTCCGTACTTAAAACATAACGTGCTTTCTTCTCGAAATTTTATAATACTAAACTAGCGGAGTTGAGAATTTACGATTTGTTTTGATACATGTTGCAGTTTTCACAGTAAAATCCCAAGGATGCAAAAATAATCCGGCGACATTTTCTTCTGTTAAAACATAACTCACGCCATAAAAAGATAATTTCTTTACTTTTTCTAGTTAAAACATCTTCCTTTAAATTTTTGAAAATATAGAAATGGAAACATAATTTCATATTGTTTATGGTTAAAGTTAGGTTCAGACAAATTAATTAAAAGCAATAATCATAATTATTTAATTAATTTTCAAATCCAATAAACTATGCAAATGCAAATGAATGCCATGATTTACATTGTTATTGTCGAAAATGCTTAATCCCAGCGTATTGTGGCATTTATTTGATGAGTTATTGATCCACTTTAATTTGAATTCATAAATTAAGCCCTCGCGGATTGTCAAAATTGCAAACATATACGTAACAATCGTTTAAGAACCGCAGTAAAAATAATTCAGATAAAAGCCGCGCATTGTATAATAATTATTTCAGTCATGAACAGCACGTTTTACTGTTTGGATAGTTTCGTTTCTCGCTGAATGTGATAAATGAACAACCCCGTTTAATTTTACGCAGCGGCGTATGTAAAGCCTAAATCCGAAAATAAAACAGTGGCGCACGCGGACTTGGATCAACGCGAAAATACAGAATAGTCGCTGTTACGCGAATAAATGAATGCCAGTGCTTTGGTGCGGAATTTTGTGTGGTAATCGGGTAGTGAAGCACCTCAGGTACATTTAAAATGGACGCCCAGAGGACCTTTTTAGTATACTTTCCTACAACTAATTCCGAGATCCGGTGGTGGATTTATTTTTGCAGCGTCCGCGCAGCCCTCCGCTTCTCGGTGTTTTTCTTTGCCCAAATTCGTTTACATTCCTTTTTAAAAGTTGCTTTTTTGTGCGCACGATCTAAATGTTTAAGTAATTACGTTCGAACAATGCACCCACAGCGTCCGGAATTTAATTTCGCAACCGGGTGGATTCAGGTGAGATGCGGCAACAATAGTCGATTACATGTAATGTTGATGTCGTTAAAATTAATTTCGCACGGACGTGCCGGCAACCCACCGAGGATGCAAGGGTATTTAAAATAAATGCTATCTTTTTTTTGTAAGCACGATTGTCTCAATTATCTAATACTGCAGCGGGAATTATTTTATGCCGTAATGCAATTTATACTTGCCCGGCGCCTCCACGCAAACAAACTACAAAGTAAAAACCCTCTCTTTGAAAGTGCTTACAAAGATGTAATTAATTAAAACAGAGTTTCTGATTTTATTTTTATAAATAGTTTTCATAATTAAAGAAATACTCACCCAAACATTATCTTGAAAACACTAAGTATTAATTTAATAATTATAAAAGATTAATTTTAGAAAAAAACAATTTTTATTACGTGATAAGAAGTTTAAGAGATTTATTTGCGACGTGAAGCAGAAGTGTTAATCGGTACTCCTGGACAAGAAACACGTGCACGTATCGTATCACAAACCGGCACTACGATTTTCGATGGAACATGCTGCCACCAGAAGAGTTCGCGGGACACTGACACCGTTGTTGAGGCGGCACGCAGCCGGCACACGGTTTGCGCGCTCGTCGGCGCAGACATGCCGAACATCAAGCGTCGCGTTCTTGCTAATTTATGACTTACTTCCGCAAATGCCACTGAGAAGAAATAAACGTGCGCGTGCTTATTACTCGACGTCTATATATTTAATTTTGTTTACTTATTTTATTGGTACATATACTTAGATTTGGTAGAGTTTTTCACTGGATGATTTATTTTTGCCCGGCGCATTCACATAATTCTACTCAGTAGAATATTATTTAATAACTAATTAAAACAAAAAATATTTACTTTGCGCTGTTATTCCTAAGTTAAAATGATCTTATAATTATACGAAGTGTGTATAATTTGATCTATTTGCATTTCAGCGCAAGTACGAGATTATAAAAGGCTCTCGATTTGCAAACTCTCGCTAAGAGTAATAATAGAAACCAAGGAAGAAAACTGGCGGCAACTCGAAACTTGCGTACAGATACGACGGGCGGAATCATCCCACCATCGGTCGAAAACATCTAGCGCAATAAAAGTTTTCGCAAATCTTATTAAAAGTAGTCGCCGCAGATTGCAAAGCCCGTGGATTCGCTCACGCGCTCCAGCAGATTGCGATCCTCCACAATATCAAAACGTTGTCCAACCACGAGAATAGCAAAGAGAACAAAATTCGCATTTGCGAGCGCTTTTTCAATTCATTAACTGAAATATTTTGACGTGGAAAATAATGATGTGGCACGAAACAATACAACGGCGCCCGGATATTTATTACTTTCAATTCTGCTTAGAATCGACCCGGAAGAATGTATCAGTTCAGTGTGTATCGCCCGTCTGTTTGTCGTGTCAAATTATTGTCATTAAAATGTCATTAACGCAACAGATCGGCTTTCACTGATTCAGATATAATTTTATGATTAATTATTCGACATGTGGTTCTATTAATACAAAACTAAATAAACATATAACAACCTAGGGAAAAATTATAGAGGCATGTAAATACTTCTGGATAGTGTTGCTTCTAACTTTAACTTAACAACCAACATATTATAAGTTCAATAGGTCAAGTCAACACCATCAAGAGTTTATAGTGAGGAAATAAGTTGCAACATATAGGTAAAGGCTAAACATTAAGATTATTTTTGTTAAATGCGGACTTTTTGTTCTAAAAATAAACTTGAACTTAAATAATTATTGAAACTTTGTTAAATATTTTCTAAATCTTGTTAACATTGCTTGTGCGCTTGACTGGCAGCGTTCCAGTTACGACTTTTTAAATATTAACCTGTCAATCGCAGTGTGTGATGACATACTTTGAACTCACAATATCCGATTGCACAGTCAATAACATACGCTAATCAATATATTACTGAGCTTACATCTAAGCAATTCGTAACATATAAGACTTGTTTAATATTTTTTCAAATGAATAAATTTGTTATTCTTTTCTGTAAAGCTTAATTAATTAAAATGAATTTTTACTGTAGAATACATACAAATTTCAAACAATTGTGAAATAAGTTTTAACAGAAATAATTGCATGAAATAGTTGAAACAAGTAAATGTTCTGTGCAAAATCTTTTTAATCATCCCTCTCGCAAATTGCAAATTTCGATACCGTTTAACATTGTAATACGTTTCTTGTGAGTTAATTCGCCTTAATTTTGCTTTGCTCCGCTTTCCGCTCTCGAGAACTAGCACTTTTAATTATGCCCGTACACCGCTCCGCTCGCATTGTCATTGTTCGTTAATAATCGCTGGTATCGCATGTGCTGCGTAAATTAATTTGCGAAAATGGAAACTTTCGCATTCGGCTCGCGGCGGCAAGGGCGCCCGCCGCGTATTCCTGCACTATTGCGCGCGTGTACGCCTGCAGGAAATCGTCGTCGATCGGAACGAACCGGCATTCGGATCAATTATTAACGAATGGATTCAATGACGTCTCCGCCGGTTAAAATTTCCTTGAATTCTCGTTACTCCCAGTTGCTTTTTCCGACGATTCCGACGATATCGGAAAAGTGAACCGCCGCTGCCGTCGCATCCTTGTAACCGAGTTATGGCGCGCGCCCGCCGCCGGCCGGAAACAACTTTTTTTACGAGTTCCCGAAGCATTTCACCCCGCCGGCGTTCGGCAAAACTGGGGTTTAATGATGCAGCAGCATCGGCCGCGCGGTACAAATCCGCCGACGAGGCACGTACACATCACCTACATGCGCATCTCGGTGTAGATTATTTTTGCAATTTCATTGCCCGCTCGACGCCGACGCTTCGACGGAAATTGAATAATAAATTAGACCGTTTTATGCAATTTTAATTATCACGCCGCGAAGATATTTAGAGGTGCAGGATGCAAAGATCAAGAGTGCAGCCTCCACTGGTCGACAGCGAGTACAAAGCAAGCAGGAACAATGCAATCACCGCAGCCACCTCACGCGCACGTGTGTGCATCAGCCGAAGGCGGCTGCGGCGATGGGGAGCGTAAGAGCACCATCGCGCCGTTGCTGATAAGAACTAACAAAGCGAAATGAAACGACAGTCAACTGTTACTATGGTTACAATAGACGTACAATAAGGTGGGTTCGATGTTCGTTCAAATGAAACGACGAAGTGTGCGGCGCCGGCCGGAGACATAAAAAGTCCTCTTCACGATTACGAGTGGAGTTATTTACGACACTCTTCAGTTTCCCAATCAGAAGCAAACGCGCTCGAATGCCATCGACGCATGTGAGTCGCTATTAATGTGCTCTCGGGGTGCCTTTGTGCCA